AGAAGAGAGTGCATTACATACATCTGATGGAGGCTCATCTCTAGACCATATGCAGAGCTCCTAAAAATTAATGATAGTAAAATAGTAGAACAATACAACAGTAAAATGGGCAAAAGACTTTGCAAAGAACTATATTCGATGACTGATAAACATATGAAAAGATACCCAACTTCCTTGGTTGTTAGCATAGTACAAATACAAACACTGTGAAAGTACACTACAGAATGACTAAACAAATTCATTTTTTAAAAAAGACAATACTAAGTGTTGACAAGGAGGTGGAACAACTGTAACTTTCATACACTGCTTATGGGAGTGTACATTGATACAACGACTGTGGAAAATGCTGCAAGTCAAACAGAAACCCTTGGATGAGGGGTTTGGAACCCCAGATCTGGGTTCTTCTTGCTGTGGACTAGAAATGTGTCAGAGTTCTGGGCCTTGGGAAACACTCTAAGGTGAGTGTAGCATCAGGTAGGGCCCCAGCAGGAAACAAATGGCACCCTCAAGTTGTGTAATATAAGAGAGTTTTATAAAGGCACAGTGACCAATGCAGGGCGCCGTCTCCCAGGCTGTCACATTGGGGCTAAGCCTACAGCTGAAGTCCAGGGTGTGTCCTCAGCAGAACTTGTTAACCTCACTCCCAGGGAACTGGTATTGCCCGTTATGGTAGAGCAGCAACTTCAGGCCTCCCTGGATTCCAGGTCCTGCTCCCACTAGAGGGCACTGTAAAAGTTCCACTGGAGTCATTTTGCCCTCCTCATGCCAGTGAACCAACAGGCAAACCAAGGAATTGCTCTATTGACATTTTAACCCAGTTCACTGAGAACCACCGATTGTAGGTGCCATCCTGAACAATAGGGAGACCCCAAGGTTTGGGACAAGTGAACTTAAGTTCTGATGGCCACACAATCACACTGGATTTGTTTTCTGAGAAAGGACAGCTTTTCTGCTGAGCAGCAAATGCAGGTCAGGTGAGGATTCAGGTCAGAATTCACATAAATGATTCCATCGTTCAAGGGCAGTAGTTCAAACTTAGGCCCCTCTCCAGGTCTAGAGATGTTTTTTCTGTAAAATATTTTTTTAAAGTGAAATACTTTAAATACTTTTCAAATACTTAAAAAAAAATTGAGACCACTTGGTATTGAGGAAAGAGAGGGGCTAGAATCAGAGAGAGGGAGTTAGCATTCTGGCTGCACAACTCCCACCATGTGGGGTCAAGCGTGTCTCGGGGCAGAGGGCAATTTCCTCAGACTGTAAAATAATACCAAGCCAAGGAGTGAAGGACACACATGTTTAAAACAGTCAGGAAGGCTGTCACCGAAATGCTCTTCTCCTGGTTTAGGCTGGTGGGGTTTCCAGTTTTGTTCTTTTCTCCTTCTCATGGGCTTATTCTCTACCTCCTCATGGTGCATAAGGAATGGCAGGCTTCCCTTGCTGCCGCATTCAGTCTTAGTTGTCCTAATGAGCTGGCAGAACCTCTGAAAATAGAACTTGAGACTTTCATAAACATGTCCTGAATCAACACAGAATGACCCCCTCAGTAAACAAATAGGTGGGGTGCTGTGAGCAAGAAGTCTTTGTGAGACCTCATGATCCACCCCGACCGGCTGGTAGGGGCGGCGGGGGCGCGGCTGGATGGTTGTGTAGGCTGAGATGATGGCCGATCGTACAGCTGATGGAAGCCAGGTGCCCGCTGACAGAGCCTGATGCAAAGGCCTCTTCCTGGGAAAGCAACCTGGGGAAGTGAGAGGAGACTGAGGGAGAAAAGGGAAGCATGCACGGGCTTGGACACACACTCACACACACTCCCCACAGTGTCTCACACACACACATATGCTCACACACCACACCTATGCATTTGCTCACATGTACATACAGTTCACACTCACACTCAGACTGCTAAGGACTGTCTCTTTCTTACACACACACACACACACTCTTGCACACGCTCCTATGACTCAGGCTTCCCAGGAGTGGAAGCACCACATGATGGCTTTGGCACTGGACTGCTCCACCGTCCAGCCGCCTGGTCTGCAATGAGTCACCCGCCTCTTGTTTATTTAGCCACTTTGAGACACTGGGTTTCTTCCAGGTGTTTTCTTGGGCAGTAAGGGGCGTGAAGTGGGGAAAGGGTGGGCAAGAAAATTGGGATCATTCATGAGTGGTGAATTAAAAGGGGGTGTGCTGCAAGAAATGCCCTGGGAACCAGCAGGGGCCCCACCCCAAGGTTTGGCTCAGCCTCCAGATGTGGCAGGTGAGGAGGCAGCCCGTGTGGGAGCCCCCCAGGCTCACACAGGCAGGAGGCACCCTGGTTCTCCCGATCAACGGGGAGGGGGCTGCCCCTGAGGAAGGGCCCACCACCAGGCCATCACCGAGCCAGCCAGGCGAGCTCAGAATCCAGGCAGCCTTAGACACGTTTCTGTTTCAGAGGACGTGGTGCTCAGGGAATTGCCAGGACACTGGAGAGTTTAGGACAGGAGGCGCTGTTCTGAGATGTGCAGGGCCCTCATCTGGGAGCTGCTGATAAGGCTGGAGGAATGGATGTTTCCTGAATTCCTGCCTCAGGGTGTTTGTTAATATTTGCTTCAGGCAAAGTAGAGTGTTTTAGCTGCCAAAAATGGATGAAATCAGGAGACTTGTTTTGACTGCTTCTCAAAGGAGTTAGATTCAGTGATTTACAGAGGCCCAGCTGCAACTCTCAGAAATTTCCTTCTAACCAGACCAGCTGTCCTAGATTCTGAGGCACTCTGAGTGAATTTGGGGGGAATCCCTCATTAGCACTGGTTAGGACTGGCGGCCCACTCAAAGGCTGCCCACCTTGCAGGAACACAGGGTCAGGGGAAGCAGCCCTGGGGCAGAGGCCATCTCAGAGGAGTGGGGTAACCCACCTGTATCCTTTCTTTTCCCCCAGCAGCTGTGGAAAACAAAAACAAACCCCCAAGTTGTGTGGAACATTCCTTGGCTCAGAATAGGAGTCTGAGGCTGGCAGGATATCAGCATGGCACCCCGGAACCCTTGCAGCCAAGGTAGAGTGCCAGTCAGTGACCTGGGAAGCACAGCCACTTGCTGAAGCAGGAGAGAACCTGTGCTCCCCTCTCCTCAGTGGTGGAGGTAAAGCTGGGAAATGGGACAAGGGTCCTGCCCCTGCAGAATCTACTGTGAGAAAGGCCCAGTCATTCCCTGACTCCATCTATATGCCGATCTTCCTCTTCTTCCGGTACCTTAATTAATCAAGCAACATTGTAAGCAGGCCGAGGGACAGACCTCTGGAGGGTAAATGAACCTACACACCTACATGGGTAAAGAATGCTGACATTCAGACCAACGCAGTCACCTAAATAACCCTATTCTTAAGACAAAACTTGAAAGAAATTATTAACCGCCTGTATACATGATGCCTTTGACAGACCCTGACCCAAAACTCCATAAAACCCCAAACTCTCAACGGTTAAAGCACGCCTCCTCTCTGAGGTCACCCAGCTGCCCCGTTGAGTGCGTGTTCTGCTTAAATTAAACTTTCTTGCTGCGTAAATCTATTGTGCTTTGTCTCTGAGATCTGTTTTTGTGGCACAGACAAGAACTCACTGACATTGGCCACCAGCGCTGTGTCTCTGTCACTTTGTATTTTGTTCAATCTACTAGCCTTTAGCACAAGTCTTTCCTTTCTGTTTTATTTTGGATGCGCAGGGAAGCAGCCATGGGAACCTGTGAGGAGGGAGGGGCTTACCCTCTCATGCCACCTGCGTGATGCAGATGGGATAGCTCCCATGCCGTTCAGGTCCAGGGGACAGTGGACGCCGGGTGACCCTGGCTTTAGGAGCTGGCAAGGGATTCGCTCCATGCTGAGCAGGAGCTCTGGGAACTTTCCTTTTCTCCCTCCATTCCTCCGGCCGTTGTGACTTGGGTGGACAATGTTAAGGTTGCTTGTAGATCCCTAAACATGGACCCCTGGTGATGGGGAAATGGGTGCGAGACTCCCTCAAACACCTGTTCAGCGCACCAGCTCTGTTTCACAGTGCTGTCTCCACAAAGCAAACATGCACACCCAGCCTCCCAGTGCTGACTTAGGCGGGAAAATGTCTGTTCTCACTTGTCTTGCCTGAGGGTTTCAGCCCTGGATTCGGGGAAACCAAGAAATGACAACAGAATATTCTTGGGATAAAACAGTCTATACCTGGATTTATTCTCCTGGAGGGAGGTCGAGCACTAGGATCACGTCTGCGCCCAGCGGTCTGCAGGTACGTAATCCTCCTCCATCTCTGCCTCCTCCCAGAGCACCGGGAAGAGCTCTTTACATAGTGACTCAGTCAGTAATAGCTCATTGCCTACGGGTGTGGGAGCATTAGCCTAGCAGCAGGGTGCTTACCTCATCAGGTAGTTCAGGGTCAGGTGAGGATGCTGGCTGCAGGAACTTCCATTTTCCCCACATCACCCCAAGCAGGCACCCTTTTCTCTCCCATGCTATGAGAGGGGGCGCTTGCCAGGCTCTGATGAGGGTGCACAGACCGAGGCCCCAGTGAGAGGAGCAGACGGCCCAGGAGGAGCAGGGGGTGCATGGCTCCCGCTTGACCAACCACTTGGTGACTGAGGCAGTGGGTCTCTTCTCAGCCTGCATTTTCCGCAATGTGAACTTGGGTGAGTCCTGTGACCCTGCGGGCCTCCTGCCTCTGGGGCATCAGAGGAGGCCATGCCTGAGAAATGGCTGAAATACCATTAATCATGAGCTTTGTATGTAAACCTTAAAGTCTCAAGAGCTTCAGATGAGGTGAAATAGCTTCAGAGTCCTGGTGGGAGCCCATAGGGACCAGGGTTGGTCTCTGAAGCAGCCAGCAGGGAAGCCGGCTGCCTTCAGGGCTGGGCCGGGCCCTGCAGCCCCCCTGGAGATGAGGGAGCAGCTGGGAGGAGCTTCCAGCGTCAGCGTGGTGGCTCAGAGTCCACTTTCAGCAGAAGAGAAAATTCTCCCCACATGTGACCTCTCAGCTGCAAGGATGTAAGCAAAACAAACGTGACCTTTGCACGAGAACTTGGCTGACGGGAGGTAGTGGTGCGGGCCCCTGTGCCCTCCCGGCCGGCTGCCTGGCAGCACGCGGGAGCGGGGCAGGCTGGGAGGGTGCTCCCGCCGTGAGCTGGTGCTGCACGGGCAGAACGGTCGGGGCGAGGCTGATCCCAGGCCTCGGGGCACATTGGTGGGGAGAGCAGGGAAAACAACAGTGGGGGGCTGGGCAGGCCCCCCCAAGATGGGTTGTTACTTGACGACGAACTTGCAGGACCTTGTGAAATGTATATAGGTAGCCAGGAGACCTTCTGAGGATTTCAAGTAAAAGGCACTTCCTTCAATGTAAGGTATCCCAGCTTCCATTTTTCTACTTTATCCAGGAATTCTTAGCAAAATGTTATTGAATTACATAGACTGTGGGGAGAGCGAAGAAGGGGTGGGCCGGGGTGGCACTGGCGCCCGTCTCCTGGTGGGGCAGGCCAGGCGGAGGGGCTGAGCACGGGGGGCCTCTCCTTCCTGCGGGCCGGCTCATGGCAGGCGGGCGTGGAGGGGAGTCCCATAAACAAAGGCAGCTCTTCTTTCAGAAATGTTTAGAGCGGTGGGTTTCTTTCCTTAACATCTTTCTTACTACACTAAGCTGAATTGTAAACACCAAAGAATGAATTCAGTCAGAGATGTCAGCCGTGTGCTGCCCCCTGGAGACATCTGGAACCTGCTGGGTGACCGGGATTCTGGGCGGGTGGGAACAGAAAAGCGCTCAGAGGAGTCACTGGGCGTCTGAGGCCATTTTTCGGAAACTGTGAAGGCCTGTGTTCCCGAAGCTGGTTTTGGAAGTGGAAGTAAGAACCATTCACGGCTGTTAGAAGCCATGATTCAGGGACTGGCAGGCACCGCCATCTTTTTGCACCGTTTGATAAACAGGGAAGCAGATCCTGATTCGCAGATCTGACGTGCTCGTGCTTGAGAGCCCAGAGACCCAGTGTCCCCACAGCTGACCCCTCCTGGACGGACACAGCCACCAGGAGGACTGGACGGCCCTCCACACGCAGAGACAGGCCCGCCGCGGTGTCCCCGGTCGTGAAGCGCAGGAGTTCCTTCAGGACGCTGAGGCCACTCGTCAGGTTCACTCCTTGCTCGGCCTCTTCACCGCGAGACCCACCCCCAAAGGCCGGGGCCCCCCGCCCGCCCCGGCCAGTGCGCGGGTCAGGGAGCTTGCTGTCCAAGCCTCCGCTCACATTGGTGAGATGTCAGAAGTCGCTTCCTTTGTGAAAGGCCACTTGAATTTCCTGAGTCATGCGGTGAGCAATGTTGTTGTTCCTCGAATCTTTAGCCCCACCTCAGATTACTTCAGAAAAAATGAGGAGAAAAATGATTGCGTCAAACTGCTAAGCTGTCCTTGAGGTATTTCCATGTGCTGCTTTAATCTGAACATTTGAGGTCGGGATTTCAAGGCGTTTTCAGTTTTCTCTCTGAAGCTTCCTGCTTAATCAGTCTTCCTTATCTGTGGCCTCAGGAGCACTCTGGTGAGCTCTTTGAGCTCTTGTGTGTGTGTGGTGTGTGCATGTGCGGTGTGTGTGTGGTGTATGTGTGTGCATGTGCGGTGTGTGTGGTATGTGTGTGGTGTATGTGGTGTGTGGTGTGTGGTGTGTGTGGTGTACGTGTATGTATGTGTGTGTATGGTGTGTGTGGTAGGTGTGAGGGGTATGTGTGGTATGTGTGTGGCGTGTGGTGTGTGTGGTGTACATGTATGTATGTGCGTGTATGGTGTGTGTGGTAGGTGTGTGGTGTGTGTGGTGTGTGGGGTGTGTGGTATACGTGTATGTATGTGTGTATATGATGTGTGGTGTGTGATATGTGTGCATGGTATGTGTGGTAGGTGTGGGGTGGTATGTGTGTGGCATACGTGTATGTGTGTGTGTGTGTGTGTACAGTGTGTGTGTGGTCAATGTGATAATGGAGGCCCTGGCCCTGGCCTGCCAGCTCTGGGGCCTGGTGTGCACACTCAGAAGCTCAAACACCTTCACAATGTACAAGATGGAGGCACAGAGTCGGTCCTTTAGTTTTGTGGGGTGAAATCATGCATCTGGAGAACACAGTCATGTGCTCAAGTAAAATAATGACCTTTATTGAGCACTAAATCCATAGGCAAAGATCAACATCAATTCTGAGAGTCGGAGTCTTGCTTTGCCTTTTGGGGACAGAAGGACAAATAGTCACAGATCCCGGGTGTCGCTCGCAGCTGGCCGCTGGACACAGCTGCCAGGGTGGACACGAAGGCCGAGTGCCGGGCCCGGGAACTTGGTGAATGGCTCTTTGAAAGACATCACGAAGGCTTCCTGAGGAAACATCACCTCCAGAGGAGGCTGTTAGTTTTCATTAATGATGTTAATTTATTAATGCATTTCCCTACTTGTAATACAAAAAATATGGAGGGTATCCAGAAATTCATTCAGGATAAAGAGAATTAAATAAAATAGGGTGTGTGGGCAATAAACAGAAAGGAGTTAAAGGTTAACAAGTTTAGGAAGATAAATGAATGTCCCATGTGTGTGACAGTGAAATGCAGGTTTCCATTCAGTAGGTCTGGGCTGGAGCTCCCTGGCCATAGATGCCCAGTGTGGCCTAGGGAACCCACTATGAGAATCAGAGCTTTAGGGAAACTTCCATTATTTTTCACAACTGAGCTTTTGATAAAATCTGGCTAGCAGAGCACTTGGACTTAACTTGCTGACGACAGCTGGGCGCTTTTGTGTCCTATGTTGCAAAGGCAGAGCCACCCACTCTGACCTCTGCCTGTCCCTCATGATACCGACAGGCCTGACCTGGGCAGGGGCCAGGGCCGCTCCACTTCCACGTGGAGGGGCCACGTCCTTAGGCAGGCCCCCGAGGGAGCTCTGTGATGCCGACGCTGCAGGTGATCTTTGCACTCTCAGCCAATGCCCAGGATAGTCTGGTTAGGTTTTGTCTATTTTAGTTTGTACATTTAGCATACCTTTGGATCTGGTCTCCTAAACTGATCAATGACAAGTGTGTGACACCTCTACTCCTGAAAATGATACCTCAGATGAATCTTTTCTTTTTTCCAATCATCATAAATTCAATTCCAAATTCCCCGCAGATCGCCTGTCTTGCCAAGTCTCAGTACACTCACGCGTCCCATCCTCATGACAGGAGGACAGACATCGCAAGGCCAAAGAGCTAAAAGTTGAGAAAACCAAACTTCTCTCACAAAATAGTCGATGGCACTTTCTCCAACCTTTAGGAAAGACTGACTGCTCTACAGAGACTGTGTCTCCGGTCACGAGTGGCGGCGACCTGGTGCTCAAAGAATGGAGGGGTAAGAATGGCCCGTGTGCCAGGTGAATCACAGAAGCACATTTCATTCTTCATACTTTCACTCAGGTTCTAGGCCGTCAAGATTAGCAAACACCCCAAGAGCAAATGCAGGCTCCACAGCTGGAGATTAGTTGTTTCTGGCCTTAGAGGATGTCTCTTATTTTTCTGCCGATGTATCATGTATATTAAAAAATCATTTTAACAATCTAAACAGCATTTTAGTTGCTCCAGACTGGGAAATTTTCTGCAGACATTTAGTTAAGTAGATGGGCAGAAACAGATGTTAGCCCTGGATTTTAACAGGCACCTTAACCTGAATCTAAAATCAATCTGTGTCTTTCTTCCTCCTTGAACACTTTGCCGATTTAGGATTAAGATACTGGGCAGTAACAGTTTATAAATTTGGAGGCATTTTTAGACAGCTCTAATTTAATAATTCCTACTAGAGGGAGGAAGTGTCAAAGTCTTCGGGAGACTCAAATATTGCTGATACATCGAGAATCACCTACACAGATGCATCTCCTGGTTCCGTCCACCGCGAGGGCCCAGAGCAGCGACACCCAGTAGCGGAAGGAGCCAGGGACGTCCACTGCCACGTGCCCTCTGATACGAAACACTGACGAGAACACAGCATCACGTCTGCGGTGTTCATGTCCTGAGCTGAGTAATGAAGCATCAGACAAACCCCAAATGAGGGACATTTTACAAAATAACTGGCCTGTACTCTTCAGGAACCCAATTTCATTAAAGACAAACAAAAGTTTGAAAACCGGTTCCAAGTTAAAGGAAGCCAATGAGGCACAGCTCAAAGCACTGCTGTGACAATAATGCCACTGTAAGGCACATCACTGGGGGACAGACGGCATCTGATGAACTCCACAGGTTACACCAGGGGCTGGCAAACCACAGCCTGTGTGCCCAAACCACCCGCTGCCTGTTTTATAAATAAAGTTTTATTGGAGCGTGACCACACCCACTTATTTGTGTTGTCCATGACTGCTTTCACATTGCATCAGCAAAACTGAGTAGTTGTGGCAGGGACATATATACGTACTTGTGTCAGTAATAAATAATACAGCTAATAAATAATACAGTAAGAAAACGGTTTCATCAATGGGAGCACTGCATTCTCAGAATTATTTTGCGTCCATACTGTCAATATATGCAATACGTTCATTACTGAAGTTCCCCAGTGGTAGAAGGAGATACATCTATGTCTATATCCATCTACCCATCCACATAAAAAATCACGAGTTCACAGCAATATCTTTAGTTCCAGTCCAATGCCCCAGGATTCATTCTAGCCTTCCTTCCTTTATGTATCTCCTCTATACAGGCAGAGTCAGAGAGATTGTGGGCTCAGTTCCAGACCACCAACTAATTAAGTCAGACGAATTTTTGGTCTCCCAGTGCATATAAAAGTTATGTTTACACGGCACTGTGGTCTATTTGTGTGCAAAGTAAAGCATTATGTCTAAAAAAATAATGTACATGTGGTAACTAAAAAATACTTTATTGCTAAAAAATGTTAATCATTATCTGAGCTTTTAGCCCATCATAATCTTTCTGCTGGGGGAGGGTCTTGCCTTGATGTTGATGGCGGCTGACTGGCAGGGTGGTGGCTGCTGAAGGCTGGAGTGGCTGTGGCAATTTATTAAAATAAGACACATAAGGGTTGTTAGAAACCATCGATTTGTAAAAATGCAGTATCTGTGAAGCACAATAAATGGAAGCACAATGAAACAAGGTATGTCTGTAATTATAATTCCTCTGACACTGAAAAAACTGGATCCCATTATCTACAATAAGCTTTCTTATTTGCTCAGTCCTAGAATACACACAAAGTAGTTTTAAAATTGCTGTTGCTATTGTAGAAAAAAACTCACTAACTGGAGATTATGTTTTAAGTTCTTTATCTTTTACCTCTGGGCATATAGTCTAAACAGTATGTTCAAAACTTAACTTGAGTTTTGTCGCTTACCTTCAGGGCAGTTGTGATTCGTGTGAAGTACACCTGGGCTCACGCCTACTCTGCCAATCATTTATTTCTTTAAGCATGTGAAACATTAGCATAATTCTAAAATCAGAACTGTAGAAAAGTGAAATGACACCCCCCCGATTCCCCAACTCTATCCTCTCCTCCTCCACATTGCTTCCCATACCCTGAAAGCAAACAATTCCATTATTTTCAATTTCCTTCCTGTTTTGTCCTACTGATGAGCACATATACTTTATCTCTTCTCTGATACAAAAAATAGCATACTTGAGGCATTTTTAGGTACTTTGCTTTTTTATTTCCTTTACAGAGTCCTGGAAATTCAGATCAGTGACTGACATGATTCCGTATCATAGAGGCACCGCACTCCTTACATGATGTGCCGTCATTTCCTCAGCATCTGCCTTGTATAAGCATTCAGGCTGTTGCCAGTATTTTAGTCAGAAATAAAGCTGCAGTAATAAGCTAGTGTGTTTGTGTTTTCATGCTGCGGGGAGTTGCATCTTCAGGATAAAGTCCTTAAAGTTGGATGTTGGAGGTAAGAAATGAATGCACATACTGTTCTTAGATATCGCCAGATCCCCCATAAGGGTGGTCCCATCCTGCACTCCCATCAGCTAAGTGTAGAGAACCAACTTCCCAAGAATTTCACAGCAGAATGCACTATTATACTCTTCAGTTTTTTGCCAATTAGATGGCTCACAAATGCTCACTCACTGTATTTTTACTTGCATTTTTTGTTAAACAAAGTTCAGCGTCTTTTCATGTTTAAGAGTCACTTCTGCAAATCTTTTGTAAATTGTTCATGACTTGTCATTTTTTTCTATTAGTTTTCATTTTTTAGTTTCCTCAATTTTAAGATTTATATATTAGTAATATTACCGGGCCTTTATACTGTAAATATTTTCTCTCAGTTGTCAGATATCTTTTTAATTTGCTTTGTTTTTTTGGCCATGTGAAATTTTTATGTAGTCAAATTGATCGTTTTTTTTCCTTAATAAATCATAATTTTGAGCCATAGAAGCCTTTCCTCTGCTCTGGTTAATAAGAATTCATCCATTTTTCTTCTAGTACTGGAATGGTTTCATTTTACATTAAGATCCCTGATCTATTTGGATTTTATTCTAATGGTTGTAACTTTCTATTTTTCCGAATGACTAATCAGTTTTCCCAGATTTATTAAAAAGCCTAACTTTACCCCAGTGATCCGAGATGCCACCTCCGTCACTCAGCACATTCTCTCTCTATCCGGTGCCTTCTCACCTCCACTCCAGCCCGTTGGATGACCTGCTGGTCAGGCCGCAGCATCACGGTCTCTTAGCAATGGAGGCACAGATTGTTCTAATGGCTGGTGGGGCTGGTGCCCTCCCCCGCCCCCATGATCAGAGGACTCTGTCTTTTCAGTTCTGTCAACGTCTGATTCTATTTAGATTTAATTTTCAGTTTATAGATTTAGAACTATATATTGTTGCCTGCTGGACAGATCCCTATAGTAGGAAAAATGCTCCCCCAACCCCACAAAAAAAAAAGATGCCCTTATCCTAAGCCTGGAACCTGTGAATCTGTAAGTTACACAGGAAAGAAGTTAAGACGGCAGACAGGACTAAGGTGGCCGACCGGCCTATATTAAAATAGGGTGTTAATCTTGGGTTAAAAGTGGAAAAGGGAGGAGTACAGAGAACGAGAGAGGTGGCAGCAGGAAAAGAACTCAGAACTCCGTTCCTGGCTTTGAATTGGGGAAGGGGTCCACGAGCCAAGGAACGTGGACGCCTCTAGGAGCGGGAAAGGGCGAGGAAACAATGTCCTCTGCAGCCTGCAGAAAGGAGCGCTGCCCTGCTGACAGCAGGTGTTAGCCCGGTGAGACCTGGATCAGATTTCAGAACTACAGAAACTTAAAAGTTGGTGTGTCTGTTTTGGGTTAAGCTGTAAGTTTGTGGTAATTTGTTCCAGCAGCAATTGGAAATCAACACAACACTTAAAAAAGAATTTTCTCTCTCTAAAAATGTTTCTTGTCTTAGTCTGCTTTGCCTAGTATTACCAAAGCCGCACCAACTCTCTTTAGGTTGATGTTTACATTGACGTATCTTTCTCCAACCTCTAAGTTTAACGACACAGATTGAAAGTAAAAGTGGGTCTCTTGTAAATAGCTGATAAATTTTTTTTTCTTTTAACACTTTAAAAATGTTATTTGTCTTCTGGCTTTATTGTTCCTCCTTTGAAGATAGTGTCCCCTCCCAACCCATGCTTTCAGTATTTTCCCTTTGTCTTTGGTTTTCAGTAGTTTTACCACGTGTCGCAGGGTGTGGTTTTCTTTACATTTAACCTGTGGGGTTTTCTGAGCCTTCTGAATCCATGGCTTGATTTCTCTATTTTGGAAAATTCTTAGCCAGTACAAGTATTGTTTTCTTGCTTTCCTTTTCTCTTCTTGGCTACACACATGGTACATCTCCTGGCCGTGCAATGCCTCTGACACTCTTTCCACTGTTTACTTTCTTCACTGGACAATTTCCTATTGGCCTGACCTCCAGCTTTACGATGTTCTACTGTTTTATGAAAATGGGCACCCCACGGCACCCAGCCTTGCGTGCTGATTGAGGCCCGGCACAGCAAGACTGTGGGAAAACTAGGCCGCTTCTCTTTTTCCGACCTGGCCTTTGACTTCCGACCCCAAGCAGCCTAAAATCTCACCACGTGCCTCAAAGGATAAACAGGTGTGTGATTCTGCCCAAGTCAGTCCCGCTGCCACTTCAGTCCCGTGCAAGTGCCCAGATCCCGTAGGTTGCGGTCTCCTGGCATGGAGCTCCACCCAGACACAGCGACGCAGACAGAGGCGGCTGCAGATGGCCTGTGCAGTTCTCCTCGCCCACACCGTAGCTCCTCTAGGCCTTTCTGCAGGAGCCTGTACCGGCCTTAGAAGATCTCTCTTCTTCTATGACCTTTAGACAGGTCATTTCTGCAGGCAGCCATCTTTGGTAGTTCTTGGCCCAGTTATGAGTCTGCCTCAAAGCACTTTAACTCAGGAGCAGTTAATCATATACTTATTGCCATTTCCACCTCTTCTCTTTTTATGTCATTTATTTCTAAATGAAATGCACTTATTTGTCCTTACTCACATTTCTAGATTTGGCTGATTGTTAGTGGGTTGTTTAACTTGTTCATCCAATTCCTACTTTATGTGAATAGGCAGTTAAATCTAAAATCTGGATTAGATTCATGCCCACCTTTGTGGGAGGGGTTTGTTTTGACAAGAGAGCTTCGTGGCTGGTGCTATGTGCTCACGACACCATCACCTCAGGCTCACTTGTCCACTGCCTGTGAGGCTAAGAATGACGGATTCTGGGGCTTTCAGCTTGCAGGTAGATAAACCCACTTCTTTGGGTATCAGGACCGAGAAGGGGACCTGGGATGGAGTAATAATCCACAGCCACACCGTGGACTGCTTACAATGGACAACCACAGCTCAATCTTGTCAGGGTCCTTTTGCAGGAACCAGGAATGGAATGTACCCTGGGATTGTCTTAGACAAGAAAGTGTTTATGCCCTGTACTGTGCCCCCAGCTGCCGAAGGGCTGCTCCAGAGGCGAATCCCTCTTAACCAGGCCTGAGGGCGGCCCTTGTAGCAGGGTCAGGGAAAGCCCCAGAGCAAACAGGTGCAGACACTCTGTGGACCCAAGTAGTCTCAGCAGCAGCCAGGCCACAAAGATGGGCCCATGTGTGTGCCAGACACACTTGTGCTCACTCCCATTTTCTCACCCCATGGTCTCAGCAGCCACTGATAATTACCTCCTAGATACCTTATTTCACTGGGGCTACAAAGTACTTATTTTCTAATTGTATCTACACTTATCAGGTGGACTAGTCTACTTTGATCAGTTTTGTTACCTTGGTGATTGCTACAGCATCATTATTCTGAAAGTTGTTAAGTAAGGGAGAGGTGGAATCAAGGACTCATCTCACATGAGGCTACTTTATTACTGTGAATTTGGGATTAAAAACATAAACACATACACATACTTTCATGCTCAATTTGCCTCATGTTTGGCAGTGGGAGCTCCTTCAAGTTGGCTTCTGTAACCTTCTGAAATAGTTCTTGAACATCTTGTACCAACAGCAACCTGTATAATTATTGCCCCAGACCCAATATGACCTATTTTACAAGTAAATTCTTGTGTTTAGTTGAAAACGGCACGCAGAGACCACAATCTGGGCACTGGTGGATCTCGTGGTTACTTTTAGTGGAATCAGTCTAGGCCTTTTCAGTTGGGTAACAGCTAAATATTTACTGTTTAAAAGGAAAATAAATCATATGAGGTTTTTTAAGTCAAATTCACGATTACTAGCTTCTTACAAGATTATGTAATTTCAAACTTATTTCATCCTACAAATACTTTTAACAGTGATAATACTAAGATGATTATTTTTAATTAACCAGGAAACCACATTTAGTAGCATGAGGCTTTTTTTCCTTAGTTTGTATCGCACTGACGATGTAAAATCAAAATACTGTACTTGAGTCACTTGAAATAATTTTTTTCTCTATGTAGTTCACCATCCTCCCATTCCCCTTTAGAGAACCATTTTAATTTTTGGTTTATCCTTCGTGACTGTTTCTTTGAAATGTAAGCAAATAGGTATGCATGCACATCTGTATCCATTCACCCTTTCTTACTCTCAAAATAACAGCATAAACCCCTAAACCCCTTGTATTTTCTGTTTTCCCTTTAGAAATCACTTTGAGATCCTCTTTCACTCATTCATGTACCCTTCACCTGCATGGCACCATACGTACACCAGTTTACTTAGGTAGCCCCCTATTAATGAACACGTGGGTTGATCCTGACATTAAAAATAAAGCCCTTGGATACAATCTGCACTTAATACCTGAAAATTCAAAACCTGGCTTCATCATTTTCTAACTATTGATCCTCTGACTTCTTGAATTTCCATTTTCTCAATTATGAAACAAGTTTTAAAAACATGACATACCTATCAGCATTCAATAAAATGTTAATTTAAAAGGTATCACTGTGTTAACAGTAACTGAAACAGCCAGTAAAATGCATTTAAAATGAGTGAAAATATGAATCATATAATTACCACTGTATAGGTTATCTCTATTTAATTAAGAAATTCATATTTTAAGAGGCAGTAACAAACTAGAATGTATCCACAGAAAGAGCAGGATGGTGAAGTTTCTAGAAACTACTTTAGATGAAACAGTTGAATAATTCATTTAAATATTTACTGAACAAAACAGTTGAAGAATTCAATTAAATATTTATTGAACAAAAGAATAAGTGAACTAGGGGGTGTTTCAACTTGAAGATACAATAAACAACTTTAAAGATTTAGAGGGCTGTCACACAAAAAAGGAGAGACTTGTTCAGTATTTCTCCAAAACTTGAACCAAGGGATAAATAGAAGCAAACAACAGGCTGCAGGATAGTTGCACCAAGTGTATCACTTATGTTAATGGCTTCTTTCCCAATGAAATGCATTCCACCCTTAATATTTCCTTTCTTCCAAAAGGAAATACTACACCTTAATACTTCTCACGAATGTCTTAAATAAGTTGCGTTTTCACGGCAAGCCGTGCACTGCAGCAACGGATGCACTCCCACCATCAGGAAGCTAAGCCCTGGCCTCCTGAGCAAACGGCCTTTTTGTTCCTCAGCTGTATCTCAGCAAGTATGAGCGATTTGCAGGCATGAGAACAGAACATACTTTCTGAAGAGGGTGTATCAGAATCCTCACTAATTCCCATAGCGCCCCTGGCACGGCCGTCCTGAAACCCCAAATCAATCACTGCAACTACCGGCGACGGTGCAGCTGGAAGTGGGCACGTGTCGGGGCAGGAAAACCCGGTGACGGCTGCTGTCTGCGCGAGGCGGGGGACCCCGAGCTCACGAGTCGCCAGCAAATATAAACTGACCGCGTAATACTGACCGGCTCCATCCAAACTGTCAAATATTTCACACTGAGGATTGTTTTGACGACTATTCAGCATAATGTTTAGGGACAAAATATATATAATCCTTTTACATGTATTTTATCACAGACTCGGTAGGAATGCTGAGGTACTGAATCCATCCAATAAATTGAAAATAAAAGTTTTACATTTTTCTATCTGTCGGTCTACAGGATTCTGAAGGCGGGCCTTGAACGCAGAACGGCCAATCAGTTTTCGAGGAAAGCCACGTAGTCGGTCAGTCTGGCTAGCTGCTGTTCGTTGGGGATTGGTGGGACGGGGGCAGGCTCTGCAGGGCAACGAGGAACACTTCAGGTCAGACACCGGGGTGACGGGGCTCTGGTCCTGCCGCCCACACCCTCCCGTGTCCTTCACAGTAAGGAGGCTTTCTTAGATTTGCCCTGATTTTGGGCATTTCTGAAAAACACACCAAGAAGTCTCAACTTTTATGAGTAGTTTCCTCAAACTGGGAGTTAAGGACGGTCTGCTTTTGCTGGATGGCAGCTTTCCACATGGTTACAAACACTTCCAGCATGCAGCATCTCCTTTAGGGGAGCACAGCTGCTCCTGGAAAGACCCCTGCCCGGGTGACACTTAGGTCAATGAATAATTACAGAGTGCTTACCATGGCCCAGGCATGGCTTTAGATGAAATTGTCAGTGAACAAAAACACACAAGAACCCCATCAACAAAGCGTCACTTCTCACACTTGAGTCACCACGCCAGCTCGGGGTGCCTCCCAGGGAAGTGCTGCAGGGCAGCCCGGTCATGGCTCCCCGTACAGTGCCAAGGAGGCTCTGGGGTTGGGCCGGGGTGCCGGTGCCTCAGGGTGCGCTACCGAGCGCAACCCACACAGTCACTCTCACAACCAGATGTGTTATAAATATCAAATGTAGATTTTACTTTTTTTTTTTACAAGTTAAAGCTAAAAAAAAAAAAATAGATGCACAATGCAAAAAGAAATTAAGAACAATGAAATATTTTTTTCAATGAGCACATGAAAATACATACCTGATAAGGGAATAAACCTGCTAAAGGAAACATCCAGCGCCCCTGCAACTAAATAAAATTTACAACCTGATTTACAGAAGGCAGTGTAAAGAACTTTCACACAGAACATGTCGTTTCAATGCAATGGCACTTACGGCCGTTCACTTTCAGGCAGAGATAATCATGCTCTGTTTGATCACATGCATCTTTTCATCATACCAGTCTTTTCTCTCCACCCTGACTGGCTGGGACCGTGAGTTACTGCTCTTGCACCCTCACAGGGTCGAGCCCATGGAGATTTGTGGAATACTTTACTGTGGGGTCAACAGAGCCTCAGAGGAACTCAGCGCCGGGGAAGGAGCTCTGGGCCGAAGCAGGTCATAAGGGCTCACAGGCGGGGCTGCTCGCCGGGCTCTGAAGCCCGGGCACACGTGTCTGCGACGCAGGAGGAACACCTGGCCCGGGCCGCAGTGAGCAGGGCTCATTTCCAAGAGGAAGATTACGGAACTCGGAATTCGGATGCAGACAACAGGGCAGGTCAAATCATTTAAGACCTTAAAAGGCCAGAGAGCTTAATTTTTTAAAGTTAAAGCTATTCAAAGGCATGTTTAGCAGAAGAATTCTACATGCTTACAAGGAGAAAAGGGGAACATTGAGTATATACAATATTTTTTAGAAAAGGCCATAGTTTAGTTATTAAGAATAAGCAGGTAGAAATGGCCCCACATTGCTCATGCAATTATATATTGATGCCAAAATAAAAACAAAAAATGAAATAAAAAAACACAAATCTTAAAAAAAACAATGGCCCCATAAATAAAATGGGAGGTTAGTATTTAGCAAAAGTTGTTATAATAAGGATTATAAAACACTAATAACAAAACTTTTTTATACAAGAAATAGATTTTTAAAAATTAAGGTAAAACTAAATGACCTTTAAGATCCATTCTACCCTAAGTGTCTGTCATTCTACATCTATAACATGAGTTACTTTTATTGTGTTAGTATAGCAGCATTTTATATTAAATTATTCATATTCAATGCTTGAAAAACTAAAGCAGTCTTATATAAATAAATGGGTGAAGAGCTCCACCTACCTGGCTTTTTGGGCATAACCATTCTTGTGGTGGAGTCGGCTTGCCATCCTTGTTCTAATATTCCTAAAAATGTATATTTTAACTCACAAATGAAGAAATAACCAACCCCTTTTAACCAACAGTTTTTTTTTAAAGAGCCACAATCTGTCAATATTACTTGTACAGGAGACCTGATGTGTGTAATTTAACCTGATGTGGATTTTTACTAGAAAGGTATATACTATACAGTATTCTCATGTGAACTTGTATTTATATTTCTGAAATATGTCAAAGCCTCATTTTACTCTACCACTAACAGATTATTAGTTTCCTATGAAGTTTATATTATGGTATTAACCTTATCAATATTACTAAACATAGGCATAAGGAAAACTTATATTGTAATGTCTGTAATCACCACATCAGTAACAACAAAGAGGCTGGTGATGATGAAGACAGCAGCTCACGTGTAGAAGGCTGGCCAGTACGTGCCAGGCCAGGTGCTTACGGTGATCAGCTTATGTCATCATCACAACTCCATGGGCTAGGACCACAATTTAACAGATGGAGAAAATAAAGTTTGGAGAATTCCAGTGACTTGTCTGGGGTCACACAGCCAGCTGGGAGGGGGCACCAGGATTCCCACCCTGGTAGGCAGTTAGGGGATGTGTTCTGAGGTAGGTTACTAATTAGATAACAAGTTATGGATCAATTTAAAAAAATGGTCAAAACAAGTAAATGTTTCTCTGACTAAAGAAAAGTATGATTTATTGTAAGAGCTTTCATGAACCTTCCTTCTATTTCTCAACTGTGGTATTTTGGGCATCAACTTAGAGGGCTCACCACCATTTAACATGATTTAGGTCTTGACCATGTTTCAGAGATAAAGGCAGAAAATATTCAGGGGTCAGCCAATGGAAATCATGGTAAGAAATGACTGCAGAAACATTTCAAGAGGTTCTAGTAAGGAAAAGTTAGAATAATCACACGCAACAAGGGTGCATCTCAGAAACACAACCAAATTTTAGTTTCATAAAAAGGGCAAAGTAGAAAGGGGAGGGCTGTGCAACACAGAGAAGACAAGTAGTGATTCTATAACATTTTGCTATGCTGATGGACAGTGACTGTAATGGGGTTTGTGGGGGGGGACTTGGTATAGGGGAGAGCCTAATAAACATAACATTCTTCATGTAATTGTAGATTAATGATAACAAAAAAAAAAAGAGAGAAAGGAAAGGGGGATTACTCCCTGATAGGATAAAACTAACTGCAAATCAACGATTAACGCATGCTTTACATAACCTTAATGTTGATCTTTTAAAGGGTGTCAGATGATCAGCTATGGAAGTACATTTTTCTGATAATATTCTTTTCTCTTAAAAAAAAAAAAA